ATAATAACACAGTTGTAGAGAGAGAGAGGGATGAAGGGAAACTGCGTCACTGATCCGAACCTCCTCCTGGTTCGGGGAGACTCCCTCCCCCTGCTGTTTTAGAGTGAGGGTGAGAGAGAAGGTGGACATGGTGGAGAGCTATGTGGTGGTCCACAACGTTGCCAAGCGCCACAATATTGGGACCATGGCGCGTAGCGCCACTGCCTTTGGTGTTGCAGAGTTCATACTCGTTGGAAGAAGAGATTTCAACTCATTTGGGAGCCATGGATCCACTCCTTACCTCCATTTTCGGCAATTCCATTCTCTCTCTGAAACTCGCCTTTACCTCAAGGTACTTTACCCCCTTCTCTCTCTCTCTCTTATTTCTCTAAATTTCTTGCATTTTGAACTCTTTTGATTCAATCTTTCAAGGTGACCTAATTTGATTTGATTGTATCTATTCGTAAGAGCTCTTTTTTATTCATTAAAACTGGATCTTGTCGTTATTACTGTTTTCCATTTTTTATTTTCTGAAGCTATTGAGAAATTGTCCACAACAGAAATTATTCAAATTTGCATTTTTTCCTGGAATTTATGTGATTGTTGAATTTATTGAGTTTTGTGTTCCTTTTCTTCTTCTTTTTTCTGTATTTTGGACGTCTTCCTTTATCTGGTTTAATGTTTTTTACGTGGATTATAGAACTCATGAATTAAACAGCAATAGTGTAGTCGAGGAAATAATTGATTTGTTCCATTTTTTTGCAGAAATTTATGAATAATAGATGAAAAGATTTTTTTTTTTTTCTGAAACACCATGCCAATAAATGTTTTCTTCAAAAAATAATGAAAGCATAGAGAGCCCCCTTAACTTTATTATCTTCTTTTTTTTTTGGTATTTTATGGAGTGTATTCATAAAGCTTTTTTTAGCCTTTTTTAAAAAAAAATTAGTTGAGGTACTTTCCTTCTGTGTTTTCTCTCTTTGTGTCTCAAACCCTGAGCTTCTAATGAGCAATAAAGGCAACTAAACTTGTTTTACACTCTAATGTTGTTATAACCAGAAAAGGCATTGTGTATATATTTCATACTGCTGTGTTTAAGAACTAGGCTTTAATTGTGATATAATCACTTGAAGTGTTTAAAAACTTTCGGGTGAGAAGGACTCGGACTGACCTGAGTTATTTGGAGCGAGCACCCTGCTGGTTCCAGATGAGCCCGACTTGGATGATATGAGTGTGAACCGGGCTAGCCGAGTCTCTCCCAGTCCGTCCAAGTTTTCAAGACGTTTAGCAAATAATCTTTAAAAAGTGTGGTTTATCAACTTGGAGGTTGAGAAGGAAGGTATTAGCAACTATAGTTATACTTCAGAGGTTAAGGGTATATCCCTATTTCACTTGTGTTTGTTTTGGGTTTCAAGCAACAATTGAAACACAAAGTTGAAGTGCTTTGGGCCTCATGCTCTAAGCCCAGCAATTAAACCCCTAAGATAAGTTGAGTGGATATTATTCACAGAAATTTGATAATAAACTGGATGTTCTATTTAAAAACTATATTAATTCGTGAGTTTCTAAATGCTAGGGATTATGTGCCCACGTTATTGGATTTTTATTGTATTTCCTGAACTACTCTTTCAAACTCAATTTTACGGAATTTCTGTGTTTGAATTAGGAAAAGGATTGTGATATTTGTGGTGTAGAGATTGTTGATGGAGCTATCCCTGTCAATCATCAACCTTTTAAGAAGAGTACTGCATTTTTACTCGGTAATGAGGTGATGCTTCCTTTTATTGCTGAAATTTTCATAGTTCTCATTCCCTGCAAATGTCATTGGCGTTGCATTTCATGTTCTCGTGTTACAATGACTATGGATATAATATATTCACTTAGCTTTCAAAAGTCACATTGTTATTTCTTAAAGAGAAGTGGGGTACTATATTATTGGATAATCTACGCTATTCGGTTTGCTAGTGTTGTGCTGTTTCTTGGTTTGCTGAAATCTGTGTTCTAGTATGGAGATCAAAGAAGGAAATGTATACAATGAGATTATTTACTTTTGATATAGGCAGGTCACAATTATCATAAATTGTTAGATTTGAAATCGCGTGGCTGAAGATGTGTCATTGTTTGGGCACAAGTCTAAAATAAATTTTCTCAAATGTTGTGAGACACTTTGATCTATTGGATTTCACATCTAATGGCTAAAAGTGATTGTGACCTCCTTGTACCAAAAATAATAGTCTCATGGTATGCAATCCCTTAAAAGAAATGGTTTTTATTCATTCTCAAAAAAAAAAAAATGGTTTGTATTCTATTTCACCGACCCCAAATAATTGGAATAAGGCTCAAATGATGATGATGATGGTTTGTGTTCTATTTCATGGTTACCTTTTGTAAAACAAGGAAATGTTTATGAAATTCACATTTTTAATATGGATACGTCTCTTACCAAGTGTTTTGATGTTATTAGAGATTTATTTTTTATTATTAGATGTTATTAGAAAGTCGAATATATATAAATGTTTAGGCAATAGATTCTCAAATTTTCTGGCATGCGTGTGATGCCCTGCATTTAGGAGGTGATTACAGATCTATTTGGAGTATTCATGGCTTTATGTGCAAAAGGATCTCTGGTAGTGGATATGTAACTGGATTGCCTAGGTTTTGGAAAATAATTTGGCAATACTTCAACTTGGAAAATTTCCAGTAAACACTTCTTATACTAGATCTCCACTTGCCAAATCCTCATCATTGGTAGTATTTATTCTCTGAGGTTCAAGAAGAGCTATCAGTTTCTTTGGAATGCTAATGGAGTCCTTGCTCTCCGAGTGAAAGTTTTTATGATCTCTGTCAAGGAGTCAACGTGATCTAATATTTAAACCCTAATGATTGCACAGCTTTAGAAGTAACTGATGAGAAATTCGAAAATGATGCTTTCAAAGACATTAATAAGGGTCTAGGGATAGGAGAAACTGTTTTGTGAATGAGATGCTGTTCAACTCCCTTGAAAACCCTGCAAAATGACCAGTAAATTTGAGTCAGGTTTTGTTATCACTAAATTGTTACGCCATGTACTGAGTACTAATATGTATTAATTGAGACTCGAACCTCTTCAAACATTTTAAAATTCCTTTTCATTGTTCGCCTCGCCCTCTCATGAACATAGTGCTACTAGCAGATCACTTTCTCATGGTAAGGTTCATCGTTTCTTTGCTAATATTGCAACACAAGTTAAGGAATCGGATATACGATTATATATTTGTTTGATAGTTTATTAGTAAAGAGATTTTCTAGGACACCTCTTGAGTGCAGCAAACTAATCCGGTGAGCAAAA